AGCCCTTTGAGAAGAGTTATACGAAATAAAGGCCAACATTTTTCAGAAGTGTATTGTATTCCATTAAATTCTAATTAAAACATTTCAATTTTCGAATTAATAATGGTAAACTATACAAAGAAGTCTCTCTGATAAACATGGAATGAGGCATTGATCAATGGGTATAGTTTTATGTTAAGAGCCATTTTATCACTCTTTTTTTTTTTAGCAGAATAACAGTGAGTTTTCCCCCAGGACCTATTTAGTTTCAAATTCTTGGTCATTGTATCTGTGTAGGGGTTCCTTCTACTGTGTGTAGTGGACCTTGAATTCATTCAAAATGTGATTGGTTACTTAATAATTTTGTCATGATTGCACCAGAATATCTGTAAGTCTGTCTCGTAAGGGGCACAAGGTTTGTATTTTGGTGATACTAGTGATGACTTTTCTTCTCTTGTAGGAACTAGAAGAATTTACAACAACTCACATGCTATTCAGTAGGGCTGATGCTTCTAACTCGGCACCAGTTCAATTTCTGAATGTATCATATTCCATATTTTACAGAAAAAAGCCTAGGGCTAAGTTTGTGGTGATCAGGATTGGAGGGCAAATGTGTCACACATCATTAACAATCTGTTTGACTCTTAGAATTATCTGTTTCTGGATGCCAATAAGAGCTTTACGGATAAATCTTCCAGTCCATCCTAGTGCAGATCAATAAGGCTAAGATCCAAATCTACCACACAGTTACATATACAACAGATAATACGGGTAATGTTTTCTAATTATTCTATATACTGGTTTGTGTCTTTGGAAGAGATTTATGAAAAGATTGTAGACCAGCAGGGAGAAACCTAGAATTAGGTTTTCTGCATTATTATAAACTTGGTTGAGAACACTGTACACTGTCAACAGAGTGTTGCCTCTTTTAATTGGATCTCACATCAACCAGCCATCGAGCAAAAGCAAAATCTTCTATGCAAATAAAAACATTGGAGTTCCTCGGGTTCCAAACTTTGCAATTTTAAATTTACTTTTAAATGACATTTATTCAATCTCTTAGGAAATCCTTGTGTCTCTACTTTCTATATATAGACACATGTCTACTTTTTACTATGTTTATAAACTTGTTGCATTTCTGGCCAGCATCATCTCTTTCCTGACTGCTATGATAACCGCTAAACTGATCTTGAGTCCTACACAAGATTGTGTCTCTTCTTTGCACAAAATCTTGACTATTTTTGAAAAACTGGTTTGATTCATAATTTCACACCCTCTCTTCACTTTCTAACTCATTTGTGATAAAACTCCTTAAAGCAATCTACAATGTTGACCATGACCTCCCCTTCCTCTATGTTTATCTATAATTACCCACACTCCCTTTTGCTCCATTTGCTCTCGGCACACTTACCTTGGCATTTCTGAAACCCTGACCATATTCTTCCCTGCCTGAGTAGCTGTGTAAAAGCAGGTTGTCAGAAGCAGCAGGATTGCCTCCCGCATCTTTTTCATTCCTCTACTCAAATATCACCTTTCCAATAGGTATGCCGTTTCCATCCAATTTAAAATCAAACAATCCTTACATAGCATTGTTTTTTACATCTCTGAAGCAATGCTCTATGCTTTGGGCATGAGAGTGGCTTGAGCATGGTCTCTCTGTCTGCAGTATCTGACAGCTCAGCCTCTTCCTATTTCCAAAAGGTGCAAAAATAGAGCCAACAGCTAGATAGGGGTTCACATCTCCAACATGAGCCAGAGGGAACACTTCAGATTCAAATCATGGCAGGTGTTAAGAGGGTGGCACTCCTTTATGATTTTGCTCAAAATCTTCCTGAATGAAAAAAATATAAAAATAGGCAAAATATCTTATTTGACCATTTAAATGAAATAAATCTGTTTTATCTGTTCTTGTATTTTCTAGAAGAATCAAGGTTTTTACATGGGAGTGCTTAAAGGATATAATGAAGTCTTAATAAAAATAAGAAGGATCATTTTTAAGATTATATTTAACTGAAATATACCTAATTACACATAGCAGTAAATTACTTTTTACTTGTGAGTGGTTTTAAACAGATCTCAGCCTTGTAGGATAGCTCCATCATTTTAATTTTGTGATTATGTAGAAATCTTCAGATTCTAGGTTGCACTAAATCAGAAACTAACGTGGGGGAAAGAGCTCACACACTAATATGCTTATCCAGTGCCTCATTTGTATAGCAAATCACACTGTACTTGACAAGCACTTCATCGGTGATGCAAAATGGAACCAAGTGGGTCACATTCACCGTAGAAAATAAAGTGCCCACCGGCCATACTCAATGAGCTCATCATCAGGATTCAGCCTAGTCAGGGCAACTCTCCATGCCTAAGAGGTTTGGCTTTGGAGTTCAGGAATCACCATTCCTTCCCCCACCACACCTATCTCCTGCAGAGTCTCTTGGGAAGATGCTGAACTAGAAAAGTTCTCTAGGACATACCCTCTGCCAAGCAACTCAATTCAGTTTCAGTGGTTACTCTTTAGAGGCCCAAATTTGGGTACTTGAAAACAGGGAAGGAAACATTTTTTGTTAGCAATATCTAACTGCTGATTTGGTTTAAAACTCTTCTTACCCTTGTGCATGTGGGTGAGTTTGCATGTGTGGGATTGTGTGTGTTTGTGTGTGTGTGTGTGTGTGTGTGTGTGTGTGTGTGTCCCTACATTCTATGGCACACTTGTAGAGATTATAGAACAACTTTTAGAAGTCAGTTACTCTTCTCACCATGAGGATATGGGATGAAATACAGGTTTTCAGAGTTTTTAGGCAAGCACACAGAGCTACTTGATTAGCACTTACTATCTTATTTGAGACATAGACTGATTGCATTTCATGTCAGAATTTTAGAATTTGTTTCTTACATATGGATAGCTTATCAAAAAAGAAATTATATTATGAGTAATCAACAATTTACAACTTTTTTCCAATTTATAATGTTAAACTCCTCATGAAGAGTATTTAATATTGTTTTACAACTGCTAATATCACCCAAAGTTCTTCTGTAACACTGAGTCATCCATCTTCAGCCTACAGGACCATAGTATCTTATAGACTTTTCCAGGAACAGGAAATTTGAAGGACTGTTTTGCCTATACTGGCAGTTTGTCAGTCACTTTTTTTTGTGTCCTGCAGAATGTCTGGCAGAATCTTTCACGAAGCAGGGACCCTGAAGGATCGTCTCACCCTCTTTTAGCAAGTTCAACAGTCAGGATTCTGTGGGTCCTACATGTCCAGGTTATACAGCATACCATTAAGCAGCCCAGGCAAGAGCAGTTTTTTGCCCAGTAGCTATCCTTGTCACACTGAAGGCAAATTTCATAATGAGCTTCTTCAATGCCCATCAATCTCTGTGAAGTTATTGATGCTGCCAGAATCAGACTTGTCTCACTGTCGAAAAAAAGTCTAAGTTCTTAAAACTTTTTAAATGCCGTATTCTGTCGGTTGTTGAAGTGTTAAAGATTATCTAACTAACTAAAATATATAGCTGTATATCTAAAAAAGCTAAATAATGTAATTAAAAGTTTTATTATTACAAATGACTATCTATTAATCTGTATTCCTTAACTATGCAATACATTTTTAAATGAGCTGCAGAAGCATAATACTTTAAATAAGAGTAGAAATATATATACATTGTAACAAAATAGACCTTAAGTTTGTATCAATATATTAAGTTACATACATACGCAAAGTATTCATCTCTATATCATATCCTCCCTTTTTAAAATTGGTTGTGACCATTTTCATTTATATTTTTTTTACTTTTTTATTGATTTTTATTGAGCTCTATATTTTTCTCTGACCTCCTCCCTTCCTCTCCCCTCCTCTTCAACTCTCTCTCAAGGTACCCATGCTCCCAATTTATGCAGGAGATCTTGTCTTTTTCTACTTCCCACGTAGATTAGAACTATTATGTCTCTCTTAGGTTCCTCATTTATAACCAATCCTTTTAAAATAAAAACAAACACTTATAAACAATCATTTTGTGAATTTGTGCATTGTTTTCTCGAAACTGCTTCCTGCTGTTTGTTGGGTGAAATATTTTTAGGGTTCATGGAGACCTTTCGGGGGTCTTGTTCCATCAAACCACATTAGCCTAGAAGGAATCCACAGGCTCTCATCATCTGTGGAAATAAAAACAGAACCTCTTTTCTTTTAAAAGGAACGGCAGGTTGCTTCCCACCGCCCGGCTAGCTTTACCTGATATAATAACATGGAAACTGTATTCATTCAAACATTGCCTGGCCCATTATCTGTAGCCTCTTATTGGCTAATTCTCACATCTTGTTTTAACCCATATTTAGTAATCTGTGTAGCACCACGAGGTGGTGGCTTACTGGGAAAGATCCTAACCTACGTCTGTCTCGGAGAGGAGAGGCATGGCGACTAACTCACTTCTCTTCTTCCCAGCATTCTGTTCTGTCTTCTCCACCCACCTATGTTCTGACCTATCAGGCCAAACAGTTTCTTTACTAATTAACCAATGAAACAACAGATAGATAGAAGACCCACCTATATCATTTCCCCTTTTTCTGTTTAAACAAAAAAGAAAGGCTTTCACTTTAACATAGTAAAATTACATATAGCAAAAACAGTTATAAAGCAAGAATTACAGTTAAAATATTTATATCCATTTTATCATTAATCATAACAAAATAAAACTATAACTAACTATCTATCTATTATTCAACTCCATCAAAGACTCCAGAAGGATATAAAATTACCTAAGTAAACAAGAAGTAAGCAATTTCCAAACCATAGAAATGACAGAGACATCTCATAGCCTGGATAGTCACCCAAAGTTCCTCTGTACCGTTAAGGCATCCATCTTCAGCCTTCAGGCCCATAGTATCCAGCAGACATTTCCATGAAGCAGGAAATTTCAAAGGCAGTTCAGTCACTATCTGCTGTGTCCTGTAGAATGTCTCGCAGACTCTTTCTTGAATCAAGAACCCCAAAAGACCATCTCACCTTTAGGAAAGTTCAGCAGTCCTCTCTCTGTGGGTTCTCTGTGTCCAGTTTATGCAATAGTCCAGGCAAGAGCAGTTTCTTCCCAAATGGCTATCAAATTCCATAAGGAGATTCTTCGATGCCAATCTTTCTCTTAGAAGCAAAAACAGCCAGGAGCAGACATGTCTCATTGTCATGAAAACCCTAAGTTATTAAAACATTAAATGCCATATTATGTAGTCTTTGAAAGATATGAAGAATGTCTATCTAACTGAAATATATCTTTATATATCTAGAAAATCTAACTAACATGACTACAAGCTTGATTATTATTGATGGTTATCCGTTAACAACCTACATTTCCTAATTATACATTACATTTTAAATGAACTACACAATCATAATACCTTAATCAAGATCTGAAATATATATATACATATAGCAAAATTGACCTTAAAATCCATACCAATGCAAATTATTCATATGTATATCATATTCCCCTTTAAACGAAAAAGAACATTTATAGACAATATTTGGGAACATGGGCACAGTTTTTTCTCTCCAAACTTCTTCCTGCTGTATAGAGGCACTGTTAATCAGGTCTTTCATGGTAAAACCTATGTGCTAGGTTCATCTCAGTTGGCAGTTGAATGAAGTAATTTTTTCAGGGTGTTCACAGCAACCTTTCAGGAGGGTGTGGTCTATCATACCATATTGGGATAGAAGCAAACCACACTGTCTCATCCTCTCTAAAAACACAAGAAGAACTTTTCCAAAGCATCATAACCTTAGATCCAAATTTTGAAGTCAAGATATTTTCAAAATATCTATCTTGGATTAGTTCAGCAGCATTTATAAATAAATATCTTTTAGCAGCTGTTGCTTCTTCCTCAGCATTCAAACAATTCAAAGAGAGCACAATAACATACAGTGTCAAGATTCTCTGTGTATTTTCCATCTTTGTGCAGCTTTACTTTAACTTCTATTTCATTTATTTTTACTTTTAGAGACAGGTTCTTTGTATATCTTTGTCCTGGAATAACTCTGTAGACCAGGCTGTCCTTGAACTCACAGAGATCAGTCCTCTCTGCCTCTCCAGTGCTGGGATTAAAGGATGTGAGACCACACCTTGAAGTCACAGAGGTCAATCTACCTCTGCTCCCAAGTTTTGGGATTAAAGGTGTGCACCACTATACCCAACTACTTTCTTTCTTCCTTTTTTATCCTAAGAACTTTAACCTTTAGCCTGCATATATTTTTAACACATAGTAAACCATTTAGAGGTTTCCTTCAACTTTGAATCTTTCTTTTCTGTTTATCTCTCTTTTTCTGACCACATGAGTCTTTATGGAGAGGAATAAAGCCATGGCTTTGACTGCTGGATCCAGCTTATTCCTTAGCTTTTCAGTCTCATGGTAGAGGTTCCGCTGGAGTCATTTTTATTGCCACAACTCCGTGGCGTTTCAAGGTCCCTGCCAGGAAGCAAGCTACAGCACTCTGCTCACAGACCACACTTAGTTAGACTGCCTGCCTGAAAGAGTCAGTGTTTGCCCTGGCAGGACATCCAAGAAAGCCAGCATTTTAAAACGGTGCAGCTTTTACCCTGCAACGACTGAAAACAGAAAAGCATGCGTTCAGCTTTTCATCATCACCATTTAAGTGTTTCGTGGCAGGACCTCTTTAAGGACCTGCAAAGTTTTTCAGCTAAAGCTGAGTTAGGAAGCCTCTCTTAGATGAGAGTGCTTGCTTGCCTCTAGCAAGCAGTGTAGACCCAAGAAATTGCTGCTACCAAGAAAACATGCTGTACTCTATTCTTTTCCAGGCTTTCTCAAGCTTTCTGTGGATGCAGTTATCCATGTCTGGGAGCCATTCTGTAACATGCAAGATGTAAGAATTAGTTAACAAGAAGCCTGAGCTAATGGGCCAATCAGTTTATAATCTTATGGAGTCTTGTGCGTGATTTTCTTTGGGGCTTGCCGGCTGTGGGGTACCAGGCAGGACAGAAACTTCAACAAGCCGCCCCTCATGTTACATTTTCCAAAGTTACATATCCTTAGACTCAAATTCTGAAGTCAATATACCTTGAGTGTGCTTTCGTTTCCCAGCCACCTGACCCAAATAATCACACAAATCATTCATCACCTTGCCAGCGATTTCTGTCTCAGTTGAAAACCTCCCTGTTGTGGATCTTGAGGCTAAAATGACTCTGACTAGGACTTGATGCTCTGTGTTTTGTTCTCTCCTCAAATGCTTCACATGGGTGAAATCTGAGAAAGATGAAGACAACAGAAATTAGATAAAAGTACTGCGTGAATATAAGAGTGGGTTAAGGCTCTGTGTAAGAAAGTGAAAACTGTATTAAAAAAAATGTATTCCAGATAAAGCATGTTTGCCATAAAAAAACATTTTTAAAGATAAGATAAGTCTGTTCAGAATAAAATTCAACAAATTTTAAAATTAAAGCTCCCCTTAAGACAGTTACTGAGGATTGACTCTGTGTCTAAAAGTTCTTAATGAAAAGTCTGGCAACCTGGTTTGACCCCTGGAAACCATGTAAGGATGGAAAAAGAAAACCAACTTTGCAAAGTTGTTCTCTGACTTCTACCTGTGAGTCTTGCCATACATACCACATTCATATATAACCATGCATGCACAAACAATAATAGTAATTTTTAAAAGCATTAACCAATACAGTTTTTTTAAAAAAGGGGGGGGAAACTCTATTTTTTAAATTAAAATGTCTATTTCATAGTTATCTCCTGTACCTTTCTTGGCATTTCTACAAGTAATTGTTTGTTATATTTTTATATCTTTCTCAAATCAGCTCCACATTGTGAATTAAATCAGAATAGGAAGTAAACATGGCACTCTTCATAGAAAGGAAGTTATTGCATATAAAATGAAAAACTATCAAGTGAACAGTGATGATAAATTCAGTTTTATACCTAATATCTAAATGTATTCCTTCTATCTTTCCCAACTTTCTTTCTTCATGAAGATGATACATAATGAAGACCTCTGAATAGTACATTTTTTTGTCTTAGAATTTCACATCTGATTTACTATGACAAAGTTGTTCCCACATACCTTGCAGAGATTCTGTAAGAATCCTCCCTTATTATTACTTTAGCAATTGCAAATCAAGACTGTTAGTGATTTTAAAACAATCACATGATTAAGTCAATGTTTTTCATTACTTAAACCCCATCCAAAAATAACGGCTCCCGTACACTTATCTGAGGCATTTGTTTAAAATCAGTGACTCACACAATACTAAGGGAATTTTATCCAGTGATTTCTATTTTGGGAATAATTTAAACTGGACTGTAATCTAAGAATGTAATTACTTACAGTGTGTAGACATACTTTTTACATCTATAAACATAAACTTGTTTATATCATTGGAGACAAGAAAATTTGAGTTACTTTTTGTCTCTCCCACAGTCGATAGGGGAAGCAAATCAATAGACATTAATCCTTCAGTGCATCAGAATAAACTGATTGTAAATTTAATTTACAGTACTTACCTGAGGCAATGGATATTTCAGTAGCCACACAGCATGTTATTTAGATGACGTTACTGTGTCTTATACCTTTCAAATACATATTTTCCCCAAATTACTTTATGGTCTGAAAGAGAACATAAAAATACGTTTCTTTGTTTCCATAATGGAAGGATGACTCCCACACAAATGTTCTAGGCAAAAATATGGAGACATCTATCCACCGTATGTTTAAATAAAGAACAGTAGATATCTATCTTTACAAATACCTTCTTGTCTCCCTAACTGTGTTCATTGTTTTGTTTTCATTTGGGCTCATTCCTCTATAAGGATCTTCCCAAAATGGTTTTAGAAAAATAAATAAAACATGAGAGAATGTTGTTATTAAACTACAATGGCATAAAGTCTTGGGACTTGCTAGTAGTTTTCCTTCAAGTCACCACAGCAATTCTGGGTGTAGAGACAACTGTATTGTGATGATGTTGAAGCCAATGCAGGTAATCTTTTTCAGGAAACTAAGCAAAGAGGAGATTCTAATCCACACAAAGGTGAGAGTTTCTAGGGAACATGAACTCCACTTTCAACAGTGGCAATGCAATCATCAACCTACCAAAGGAATCATGCCTCTTTATTCTAACATGTTCTTCAGTATAAGTTAGATAGTCACTTAGCTATTTCATTTCATTGAAAATATATGTATTTGGCTGAAAAATAGGTCGTGGGACGTTCTAATGTTTAGATTTTCTGATTTTTCAAGATATAGTTTCATTCTTTTAGTTATAAATGGTTCCAAACAAGGTCTTCTATAACATTTAAAATTTCATGCAGGGCACTCATTGTGAGAACACAAACAAGAACAAGGATCTGAAGGGTCCTCTTTGCTCTCCCTATAAAGTGCATCTAGTCAAGACTTCCCACACTGAACTCCTTAGTAACCATCCTTCATGCATTAGTTTATATATTTACACTCCCATTGGGGTTCATTTATAATTGTAATTCTTTTGCTTCAGAAATTTTGAAAACTACATATCTAATTTATTGAGAATACTTGCTTATTACTTGATTTTTTGCCAAAAATCTAAGTGCCTGAACTTAATGACTTGTTGACAATTATCAGGTAAAAATTGGGAAGAAAAAAGAACTTACTTTGTAGTCTTGACTGGCCTGGAACTTTCCATGTAGACCAGGACTAATAAAGGTCCACTTTTTTCTGACTTCTAAGTCTTGTGAGAAGAAGGAGGAGGAGGAGGAGGAGGAGGCAGAGGAGGAAGAGGAAGAAGAAGAGGAAGAAGAAGAAGAAGAAGAAGAAGAAGAAGAAGAAGAAGAAGAAGA